GAGTCCCCCAATCGCATAAACTAGGGTCTGCTTAATGATAATAAACAACAAGGTGGGTAATTGGCAGCAAAATCAGGAGAAGTAAAGACAAATCTTTAAGGGAGAGAATAGATAATATTATTAAAGCTATAGTCACAGATACAAAGCACAAAAGAAATAAATCATTAAAATTCGATAAATAAGCTGTATTTTCATTGATGACCCTTGAGCTTTTCAAAGGAATAAAACGGCTTCAAATACACAAAACACTGTATAACGTTATTCAGATAAGAACCTAAACCGAAACACAGAGACATTATATCAACTTAAACTGTGTGGTAAGGTGCATATGGGGTAGTGAACAGTCCTAGATATAACATTCGATTTTTTATTTGCGGAAGTGACGATACGACAAAAAACTATTAAACTTGACCTTGCTGTTGATTTTATATATATAGACAGATTTGTTTTATTCTTGCAAAAAACGGTATAAATAACTCACCCTACGCTCACTCTCTCTCTCGCTCTCTCTCTCTCTTGTAAGACAGAACATATATACAATACCACACACTCACACCTCTCATCATATAAATAACCACAGATACATACACACTCTATGACAGCTCTCACAGACGATTGCTAAACAGAACATCAGATAGGATATACACTGAAACCCACCACATACGCAAGCATGGATGGAGACGCAACACAGACACACACAGAACTGACATGCACAAAGACATACACTATCATTTATATAATACGCAACTGCGTATATAACACTCCACTCATTTCAAACACACACACACACAAACACACACACAATGATTCCACAAAATACCACAAATGCTCAAATTGCACACAACCACACACATAAACACACACTCACACCACACACACACTCTATACATCCCAAACACAATACACTACACCCACAATGTCTCTGTCTCTCTCTCTCTCTCTCTCTGTCTAACACCACGATGTGTATACACTCACGTCGCACATCACACACACACTCACACACCACACACACGACTTTTCAAACTCTCGCACACACATACAGACACACTGAAGCACACACACACAAACCTATCAGCACACACACTCGCACTGACCACACGTCACATATGACTGACACACTCGCAACAGACAGCACACTCACACACCTGCACAACACTCTCTCATACACATACAAGCACTCATACACACCACCACCATACATCACACAGACGAATATAGTCACACAGCACGCACTCATCAAGAACACACACGTACACCTCTGGTCTGCTGTGGCGCTATCACGAAACACACAGATCAGACACGCACATCATCTCTTATCACACATGCCTGTTTTCGTCACAGCACCACAATATCACATACACACTCACGCACACAAACGACTTGACACTCACACACACATACATCTCTATTCTCACACAGAACACACATACACACACACACTCACACACATGACACTATACATACCTCACATACACACCAACATCACTCACACCACACTCACGCACAACTCTCTCTCTCTCTCAAAGACACAGACCACACACACCACTGACACTCACCATAGCACCACTCCGGCAACTCTCAAACACATACACACGCCTGCATGAACTCACATCCACACTCTTCAAACCACACACACATACACACAGATCACACGCAGACACACCACGCACACACACACACCTACACTCACGCACACGCACACACACACCCCACACAACTCACACACCACCACACAGCACTGACACACACACACATTCACACATTACACACTCTCACTCACATACACTCACACACTCACTCTCTCTCTCTTTCTTTACCTCCAACCAATGCAATACCGACCACCTACTATGGCGCCATCAGTATTGGAACACACCCCCAGTCCTTCCAAGTGCTCTTTGACACCGGCTCTAGCCAAACCTGTGGGTGGACCTCCATCTACTGTAGCACTCAGGCCTGCAGTGAGTATTGTAACCACAGCTGGCTTTACATGACATATCCCTCATCGTCACAAAAACTGGATTTTGCATGTAGACATAAAGCTCACCATAGGCACAGCGTGCCAGAGCAAGTCCATCGTGTGGTCCATTGAGATTACATATTTAATCACATCATGGACTTAGAAGTTAAGTGGTGCTTGCAGGCATGCCACTTACAATGTTCAGTCTTTAAGGAACCATCCGCAACTGAATAACAGAACTGTTAGTGTCAAAAGACTGTTTGTTGACATGCCTCCAGAGATAAACTATGTCATTCACAGACGCACACACAAAGTTCAACCCCCGGCAGTCCTCTACCTACTCTGCCATTGGAAAAACCTTCTACCTGCCCTACGGAGCCGGAAGCCTCCATGGTACCTTTGGATATGACACTGTCAATGTGAGTCAGACCCACCAAACACACATGACTAGTTCTTAGTGACTGAGAAAGAGTACTACCAGAAAGCATAGTATGTCAATAACACCTCAAAGATCGATGTCTCACAGTTAGAACATACCAGTCAAAGATGTTGCATTGGAAAGTTTCAGTAGGAAGATCTGTGTGGCAGTTTTCAGTTTTGAGTGTGTAGTAAGTATGTGTATTAGTGAAAATATATACATTTGTATATACACTAGAAAAATATTTTTGATGAGAAACAACAGAGGCCCACCCTAGTTGTTTTTTAACATTGCTGTCTACAGTCATATAGGCTGTTAGCTTGAACATGTATAAATACAATCTATGAATTGACATCCTACTCATGGCAGTGGTTGGTTTTGGAACCATAGGTTGGTGGCATTGAGATCAACCACCAGGAGATCGGTCTGAGCACAAATGAACCTGGTCAGAACTTTGTGGTTGCCAAGTTTGACGGCATCCTCGGCCTGTCCTACCCAAGCATCTCCGCTGGAGGAGAGACTCCCGTCATGGACAACATGATTTCTCAAAACCTGCTGAGTGCCAACATATTTTCTTTCTATCTCTCCAGGTATAACTGTCACAAGACTTCTATTAAGCACTGTAAATCATACACTATCCAATGGAGGATATCACCTCAGATATTGCTGCATATCCACATTGTGAGCTTTCAGATAAGTTTTGGTTGTTTGATTCAGGGGAGGACAGGAGGGCAGCGTGCTCTCTTTCGGAGGAGTGGACACCAGCCTGTACCAGGGACAGATCTACTGGACCCCCGTCACCTCTGAGACCTACTGGCAGATCGGAGTTCAAGGGTCAGTGCTTTTCATCAATCATTAGTAATGTTAAATATCAAATGATCTTCCCATCTTCCGATTACTTACTTCAGTGCTTATTGTGCGTTCCGAAATAACTGCAACATTGTTTTTACTTTTGTTGTGCTTTGCAGATTCGAGATCAATGGTAGAGAGACCGGCTGGTGCTCTCAGGGCTGCCAGTCCATTGTGGACACTGGAACCTCCACACTGACAGCCCCAAGCCAGCTCATTGGTCACATCATGCAGGCCATCGGCGCTCAACAGAGCCAGTATGGAATGGTAAGACAAATGAACAGACAGACAGACACTCTCATGTTGAAGAAGTAGGAAAATAAGCCTGTATAAATTGGGCCGGTTTGTTTTAGTTTCTGTCTCTTCTAATAATAATATAATAATACACTTTATTTGTATAGCACCTTTCATGCACAACAATACTATTAAAATTGTATCTAGAGAACAAGATAAAACATCTACAGTGATCCTAATGACATTCCCGTGAATTAAAGCTGACAAGAAATTTAAATATCTTTAAATACAAAAATAAGGGCTTTCCTGGACTCAAACCATCTCGGCTGCCAACAAGAAATATAATAATATTAATAATATTAATAAATAAATATAAATAAATAAAGGGAAATAAGCTATGAAGAAACAGAAAAATAACAGTAATAATAATGAAAGAAATTAAATGGGAAATGGATGAATAGGTGACACCTATTCATCCATTTCCCATTTAATTTCTTTCATTATTATTACTGTTATTTTTCTGTTTCTTCATAGCTTATTTCCCTTTATTTATTTATATTTATTNGAGGATGCCGTCAAACTTGGCAACCACAAAGTTTTGACCAGGTTAATTTGTGCTCAGACCGATCTCCTGGTGGTTGATCACAATGCCGCCAACCTATGGTTCCAAAGCCAACCACTGCGATG